TACGTGCTACGTTCAGGTACGTGCTGCAATCAGGTATGTGCTGAGTTCAGGTACGTGCTATGTTCAGGTACGTGCTACGTTCAGGTACGTGCTGCGATCAGGTACGTGCTGCGTTCAGGTACGTGCTGCGATCAGGTATGTGCTGCGTTCAGGTACGTGCTGCTTGATCCACCTGAGACTTTGGCCTTGAAGGGACTTCCGACCACGTGACCACCTCCGTACTTGATGGAGATCAGGTAGTTTCCGGGGGCCATGGGTGTGTATGAGACCTTGTAGCCCTCAGCACTTTCCTGACAGTCCATCTTCACTTTGGACGGTCCGTCCACGGTCACCGACAGAGCTCCTGAGCCGGCGTTACATGTGTTCACGATAAACTCTGATGCCACACCTGAGGGAGGAAACCAACACTGTTAAATATTCCTCACCAGCTAATCCAAGCTTTTAAAGTGAAGGAGGTTAAGGATCAAGTTTACCTGTGACTCCTCCCTCCAGTCCCGGTCCGAAGGCAGACACCATACCAGGATCTCCCACCTGTCCCGGTTCTCCCACTCGGATCTTGAAGGGGCTGCCGGGGACGTGGCTGCCGTTAAAACGCACATCGATGGAGTGAACGCCGTTTTCTCTCGGGATGAACCTGATGGCGTGTTGATCTGTAGAAACAAAGACTGATTGTTCAAGACTGAAGACAAATGTTCACACTGATTATTAACGTATCAGCGTTTTGTGTCGTCTGCATAGAGATGAACAGGATTCAGAGATGACGACATGTGACAGAACAGAAGTGGACTCAGACTGGAGCCTTGTGGAACTCCAGGTGGATTTTAAAAGGTTTCACCACTGTCCAGCTCGGTGATGTAACACTCCTCAACGGCTCCTGACGGCGAGTGGATCTTAGCATCGATCAGACCTCTGGCTCCGTTCAGCTGCACAGAGAACGAGGCTTCCTGTCCGACCTTCAGACCCATTTCCTGAGAAACGTAAACGAGCAGGTTCAGATCAACAGAATCTCAGAGGGAACACATTTCATCTGGATCTATATGAATAATATCTGGAGTCAATGAAGATGGACACAACATGAATGAAAG